GGGCAATGTCTATATCCACATCCAGTGCGTCTTGGAGTTGCGGGCTCTCTTCCCCAAAAGCATGAGGCGCACTGGATCTGGATGAAAAATCTGGCCCCCGAAGGCTACATTTGATCCATATCCAGTGCGCCTCGGCCTTGCGGCGCCCCTCCCAAGAAAGTCCAAGACGCATGGGATATGGACGTAATTATTGCCCGCACTTACCACGAATCGGCCCCAAGACTGCAGAGGTCTGGGGCGCAGCGGCATCGGTACCTTTTTGGCTTCCCCATGCTTCCGCCTTGCCGCTCTTGTTGCCAGCTCTGGCGCCGTCTCTTGCTGCCGCTTCCGGAGCCCATTCCGGTTCCAATTCTGGAGCCGTGTTTCCGGCCCTGCCGTCTCCGGGGCCCACTGTGGGGGCCCACTGGGTGCCCACGAGGAACGGCCCGAAAACCACAGCCGCTCCAGAACCCCAAGATGGTCCTTACTTCAGCGGCTTGACTGTCTAGGACTGGCCATCGCTCGGACGTCCATTCCCAGTGTTTTTTTGTCGGTCTCGTGCGTGGTTTTTTTCTCCCAAATTATCAAGGCTGCTCCTCGATGGTCCTCGCCGAAAGAAAAATGCACACGTCCGAGTGATGCCAAGAGGGGTGGGCTGCCCCGTGAGGGGCGGGCCGTCGGCCAACAGTCGGCGGCCCATGGGCGAGCGGGGGCCGAGGCATGCCAGACGGAGCCCGGCCCCCCCGGAAGCTGCCCATCCCTCTGCAACGCCCGCGCGACGCCTTTTGAGACAGGACGAGGGACGCCTCTAAAAAGCACCCGCGCGACGCTTCCAAGGCGCACGCGCGACGCCTCGAAGGCGCCTGCGAGACGCCAGTAAGACTGACTACCTACCAGACCACCCCAACCCAACCCGAAGACCCGAATTTCGGGTTGGGGGGGGTAAGGGTTCCACATGTGTTTTTTCAATGTTTCCCGACCTCCCCCCCACTGGAGATCGAGGGTAAATCTGAGCCTTCGGGTTGGGTTGGGGTGGTTTGGTGGGTGGTGAAAGACGCCAGCAAGACGCCTGTAAGACGCCAGGAGTACCCCCTGCCCTCCCTGCCACCCCCCCTTCCTCGCCCTGCTGCTCGACCCGCGCAGCCCCCCGGCGCTGGCCGCAGCCGCCGCCGTCGTCGTGGCGGTCCTCCCCGCCGCCCACGCGGTGGCAGCCACGATGGTGGCCGTCGTCGCCTCCCGAGCACCGGCGTCGTGTTTTTGCCCCACGACGTCGACCCCTCACACAGTTCTGGCCGCCCGAGGTGGGTATGGAGAACGGTGGCACAATGCCCAACGACAGATGTCGTCAAAAACCGACGGCGGCCGCTGTTGGGCAGACGGCTTCACGTCGTCAAAGAACAACGTCCGCGGCGGGGCGGACAGCGAGTCCTCTTCAAAATGAACAGGGCCTGCTGTTGGGCATCGTACGCATTCTTTCCGTGCCCATTTCGACCGCCCCGAAAAGTATGCAACCCTTCCCCGGGAGCGATTGTCTTCCTGGGTAACCTTTTTACGGCCCCGAGGCCCGATGGCGGCCGTCAGGAACCAAAAACGCGCCAACACCCTCCGTCGCGGTTCTTTCGCATGGAGAGAAGGCGGGGGTCGCCTGGACCTCGCTGCCGCCCGTCGTCGAGGCGGCGACCGTTGTCGTCGTCGACGTCGTCGCCGTCGTCGCCACCGTCGGCGCCGTCGTCCTCATTGCCGTCGTCGTTGCCGCCTTCGTGGCCGTCGGCGTCGTCGTCGTCCGCGTCGTCGCCGTCGCCGTCGTCGCCGTCGCCGTCGCCGTCGGCGTCGTCGTCGGCGTCGTCGTCGTCCTCGTCGGCGCCCTCGTCGGCGTCGGCGTCTCGGCGCCCCGGCCGTCGCCGTCGGCACCGAGGCCGGGGTCCGGCGGCGGCCCCCGCGGGCCTCTGCCCGCGGCCCATGCGCCGAGCCCGGGCGCTGGCCGCGGCGGGGGGGCGCTCGGGCTGGAGGGCTCGGCGCGACGGAGCCGTCGTGGTCGTCGCCGATCGTCGTTGGCCGTCGCCGCCGTGGTCGTCGCCGCCGTCGTGGTCGTCGCCGCCGCGTCGCCGTCGTCGTCGCCGTCGTCGTGGTCGTGGTGTCTCAGCGGTCGTTGCCGTGGTCGCAAGTGGTCGTCGTCGTCGCCGCCGTCGTCGTCGTGGGCGCAGCGGTCGCTTCCTCCGCTGCTGTCGTCGGCGTCGCCATGCAGAGACCATGGGCGTCGCCGTCCTCCCGCTCCAGCTGCAGAAATCCTGCTCATCCTGATCCTACTCTCCCCTCCTTCCTCCCATCGTGTGCCTTCTGCCTCCAGTGTCGGCCCTCCCTGCGTCCTCTCTCCCATCCCGACCCTCCCTCCCATGCCGACCCCTCCAGGGCCTCCATCCTCCCTCCCCCTCTCTTCCACCCCCTATCCCCCGCTCCTCGCGTCCCCTCCTTCTTCTTCCCTGTTCTTCCCCCCCCCCCAGCTTCTCGTTTCGATCTTCCCTGCGAGCCTCAATATTCGTTCCCCCCGCCCTCATCCCTCCCCGTCCTGCTCCCATCATGCTGCTCTGTCGCCGCCTTATCCCATCGATTCACAAGGATGTCGCATCTCCCTCCCAACAACCTGTCGGCCTCCTCATCGTTTTCCATTCATGATATTCCTCTTCGTCCCCCTCGCGCTCTAACCTGGTTCAGGAGTTCGAGCATGATTGTTTGCACCTTGTCGACCTCATACATCACATCGATACTGGCGGGCCTGGGAGGGGCCGTGCGCTGATGGGCGCCCGCGCGCAGAGGTGTGTTCTTAAAGGGTATGAAACACATGCCCACCGTTGGCTACAATCCTTGCAATCTGACTCAGACTCGACGATTCCACAAAATATCCACATCTCTCAGCTCTGCCCAGCTTGCGATTATCGTTGCTACTCGTCTCTGTGCGCAGACGAAAATTCCCCTGTGGATTCTGACTGGGGATGCGCATCACTTCGCGCATGTTGGTTGCAAGAGGGGCCGTTCACGAACAAGTCGTGTGGTATCTCGATCGGTTACGTTCTCAAGTGTTTCCAGCGTGGTTCATGTGATGCCTGCGCCTCCACCTGCTGCGCAAAACCGTGGTGGGCTCATCCGGCTTACTGGAAATGACTATGGCTTTGCAGTGATCGCAATATGTTTTCCCCCGACGCTGCTGGACGTGCTGCGAGTGCAAATGGTAGAATGAAGCTCTCACTCGAGTGTCTACTCGCTGCACGGCTATCCTCTGCACCGACATGTGCGATTCCTTTTCCAACGAGAATGCCGACCAGTTCGACTGCATTGGCACCTACAATACAAATCGCATGGCGCATGGGGGTCACCACCAGAGCTTTCAGATACCTGTGAGACATCACTTGTCTGTGCCGAGCGACTCAGTGCGATTCGGTGTGCTTGTTCAACCTTCTCCTCCCCCCTCCCTCCTGCCTCCTCCTCCTTCCCTCCCTCCCTCCCTCATTCCCTCTTCCTCCTCCTCCGCCTCCTCCTCCTCCTCCTTTTCCTTTTCCTCCTCCTCCTCCTCCTCCTCCTCCTCCTCCTCCTCCTCCTCCTCCTCCTCCTCCTCCTCCTCCTCCCCCCCTCACGGGCGCGAAGAGCCGCCCCGCCTCCCCCGCGCGCCGCGCGCGCCGCGCGCGCGGCACGCGCGCGCGCGCAGCTCGCGCGCGGCTGTCGGGGGGGGGGGGCGCGGCGGTCCGCGAGAGGTCCGGGAGGTGCGCCAGCGGCCCAGGGCCGGCGCAGGTCCTGCCGCGAGCCCAGGAGCGGGCCCCGCGCGTGGCGCAGGGCACGCGCGCAGAGAGGGCAGCTGCACGCCGGCAGCGCGCCCCGTGCCCGACCGGGGCCTCCTCCTGGTTCCAGGCGAGGCGTCGGCGCCCTCCTGGCCGAGGCCCGGGGGGGGGTCCATGCACCCGGGCTCGGGCGAGGCAGTGCTTTTCCGTTTCGATCTGTCTTCGTTGTCATTCCGGCTGCTGCTGTCCTTGCGGCAATGCTTGCGGCAAACGGGCCCACGAGATCGCCTGAACACCGTTCAGCTCGATCTGTGCTGTGCACCGTCCTTGGGCCAGGACGGCCCAAGGACGGTCTGCGGTGGCGAAGTGGTGCTCTCTTTGCGGGCAGCAGGTCCCTGACACGGCGACGGCGAAGGTGGGGACAGGGGGGCCCGCCCCACACAAGCCTCCCAAACCCTGCTCGGCCAGAAGGGGAGAAGGAGAAGGAGGAGGAGAAGGAGGAGGAGGAGGCGGCCAGAGGGGATCCGAGTGGATTGGCGCATCTCATGCGCTCAGCGCCGAGCCCCGCTGCGTGCGCCCCGAGCGGACAGCTGAGCCCACCATGAGGGGGGCGGCACGGCCGGATCACCTGGCCAGCCGATGCGACAACAGAAGCCGCACCGGAGACGCAGCCCGAGCCCGACAGAGGACCTGCAGGGGCCGGTGCTGAACCCAACCGCGCAGGAGCTGCAAGCTGAAGCAACGGCGCGGCCGTGGGAGGAGGAAGGGGAAGAGGAAAGGGAGGAGGAGGAGGAGGAGGAGGAGGGGGAGGGGGAGGAGGAGGAGGAGGGGGAGGAGGAGGAGGAGGAGGAGGAGGAGGAGGAGGAGGAGGAGGAGGGGGAGGAGGAATAGGAGGAGGAGGGCGGGCAAGGAGGGTGCGAAGGAGGAGGGGAAGGGGGAGGGGGAAGTGGAGGAGCGAACGCTGCAGCTGGGGCGCACCGCCTGGTGAAGGAAAAGGAGGAGGCGGAGGCGGAGGCGGCGGAGGCGGGGGGGGGGGGAGGAGGGAGGAGGAAGACAAAGGAGCATGGAGGAGCAGGGGCCTCGGACCGCGAGGGTAGCGAGGATCCCCTGGAGCGGCCCCGCGCTCCTGCTCGCGCCTGGAGGGGGTGCGTGTGGTGCCACGTCCGAGCTCCAGGGCGCCCACGGCTCGGCGTCGGACGGAGTCCGCCGGCAGGAAAGGAATCCACGGAGGCCCTTTTCTGTTTTTTTTTTCCGTATCGCTATTCGGGGGGGCCTTCTGGAGGCTGCTCGTAACCACGGCTGGATCCGCCTCGAGGGACGGGTCAGGTGACACCCCAGGATGGGTCGAGGGCCCGATCCTAGCGGCGGTGAGGAGGGGTGCAAGAAAATAGGCACTGGCAAATCGCCATGTACAGATGGAGGCCTCCCTGGCGACCTCCCGCACAGGAGACCTGGAGACCACACGGGTCGAAACGAATGCGCGATCCTGCGGCTCAGTACTGCTCACGATTTTGTCATTACGGCGAGCATGCGGGTCTCATAGCGTCGCGCGCCCGCCCAGCTGGCCGCCTAGCAGAAGAATCTGGAATGACCGCAAAGAGAAAATTGTGCAGCATAGTCTTAGACTATAATGGTGGACAATTGCCTGACCCATGAGGAAGATCATTGCAGCGCCAGGATGCACCAAAGGAAGAAACGAGAGATGAGGTGCTAGGCGCCGTCCCTTCTGCCCGCACGAAGCAGGGCAATGAGCAACATGCACAATAGGCAACATTGGTATATGTCAATCCTTCCAGCAGGCCGTTGCCCCTGGCGCTGCCAGATGGCCAGTGAGTCGCTGACCAAATCATAACGCTAGTTGCCACTCAAAATGTGGCCTACTGCTTGAACTTCTTCATGACCTGTTTTTTGAGGTGTGTCTTGTAACTCTGGATGTCCCCCTTCCACGGGGCAATGGTTTTATTATCACAAACCCAGATTTCCTTGGCGACTTGCCCGATGAGGCGGAAGTCGTGGGAAACCAGCACCAGTCCACCTGAGAAGTTGTTGATCGCCATCGCCAGCGCATCGATACACTGCATATCTAAATGGTTGGTCGGCTCGTCGAGAAGGAGGCAGTGCGGATTCACCAGAGATATAAGCAGCATGACAACCCGAGTCTTCATGCCGTCCGACATGGTCTTCATCTTTCTTGTCTGGAAATCGCCGCTTACTCCAAACATTCCCAGCTTGCCTCGCCACTGTGGCGTCTCCATCTTCGTCATTCCCTCCGTGGTCACGATACCATTCGGGTAGAGAGTTTGCAAGAATCCCAAAGGAGTTTGTTCAAGGTCCAAGACTTCCTCGCTGTGCTGGTTGTAGTGGCCAATTCTCAGCTTGCCACTTCTCTTGACCTCACCGACGGTGGGCTCTATTTGCTGGAGCATGAGCTTGAGGAGGGTCGACTTTCCTGCACCATTCGGCCCGACAAGGGCGATGCGGGAGTCGAGATCGACACCCAACTCCAAGTTCTCGTAGAGGTGGTCCTCTTTCTTCCCCGAATAGGAGAAGGAACAATTGGAAAAAGCCAGCACCGGTGGAGAGATCTTCTCCGAGTCTGGAAAGGCGAAAGGGTAGATTGGGTCAACCTCGGGCTTCTCTGTGAGACCGGCCTCTACCATCTTGTCGATGATCTTCTGCTTCGACGCCGCCTGGATCAGCATGTCCTTGTATGTACCGCATGACCGGATGAAGGCTTGCAGGTGCGCGATGTCGTCCTGCTCCTTCTTGTACTTCGTCAGCTGATTCTTCTCGAGTTCGGCCCGGGTTTTGACGTAGGTGGCGTAGTTGCCGCTCCACGTCACGAGCGTGCCCTTCTGAGTGAGCTGCATGATGTGAGTGCAGACGCCATTCATGAAGTCCTCGGAGTGCGAAGTGAAGAGCAAGGTGTTCGGGTACTTCGAGAGGTACTCCTAGAGACAGGAATAGCCACATGACATAATCTGTCGGAGCTCGTCGCAGATTTCTTGCATCGACGCCGGGCCCCCCTCCCCTCTTGCGCGGAGAGAGCAAGGGCGAAGCCGCAGAAACCGCGGGGGGGGCCGGTGCCGATCGAGGAAATCCGTGCTGCGCTCCGACAGTTGTTGTTTGTAGTATCTTTTCTCTTCCGATTCCTCCAGCCAGACGCAGGCGCCCAGATCGAGGTGGTTCGTGGGCTCGTCCAGCAGCAAGAGCATGGGCTCCACGAAGAGGGCCTGGGCCAGGGCAACGCGCATGCGCCAGCCTCCGGACATGTCCTTGGTGTGCTTGTTCATCATCGCCCTCGTGAAGCCCAGCCCATGCAGAAGCTCACATGCGCGAGGCTCGAATGTCTCGGGCTCCATCTTGTCCAGCTTGTCTTGGATAACGCCGAGCATGTCAGCATGCTTCTCCACGTCCTCCTCCATGAGCTTGAGACTGAGTGCTTCGAGGCGCGCGTGTTCTGAAGCCACGACGTCGACAACCGCCTGAATGGCCGACACTTCTTGCGGTTTGGCTTCGCTGTCCAGATACCAAATGTCGATGCTGTCGGGGATCGGCACTTCCCGGGCAGCGAGGGCCGCCAACATCGTAGATTTGCCAGACCCGTTCTGCCCGATGAGCCCGATGCGCCGTCCGAATGTCAACTCGATCTTCGTATCCTTGATGAACTCCTTGCCGTAGACGCTTAGCGAGAACTGCTCAATCTTCAAGTCTAGAGATTGCTTGCTTGAGGTCAACACCCCAGTGATCACCGCCGTATCCAGCACAGCGGCACGCACTACGTTGTTGTCCTTCAGCATCTTTTCCTTTTCAACCTTGTCGAGCAAATCTGCATGCTTATCCGCCTTGCCTCCAACTTTAGCCTTGGCCTTGGCCTTGCGCGCCGCATCCTCCTTGCGCCCCATTGGGCCTGGGAGGCCTAGCCTGCCCAACGAAGAAAATAGCCCCAGACGGCCCGAGCACTTGCCCAGCCAAAATGACTTGGGCCAAGAAGGCGGCAGGTGAGGGGGACAGATGGAGGAGGGGCGGGGAGGGAGGGCAAGAGGCCACTCAAGCATCCCAGACATCCGATTCCCAAACAATCCCGACCCTTGCCCAAGGGCCGGCTTTCCATCCCGAGACGTTTTTGACTGCCCTAGGGTCTTGCGAAGGTCCCCGGAGGCCGAGGATGGCGGAAAATCACTGTCCTGATTACTGTCCAGACGTTGCACGTCTGGGATCATGTACAATGGCGATTAACAAAAGAACACAATGAAAGACGCTCCAGACATTTCTGCCGTGGGGGGATATAGATGGGGCCCGGACCATCCGTGGTTACTTCGGTTCTGCGGAAGTCCGCTTTGGGCTCCCGCGCCAGCAACTACCTCTGATCATCCCTACCCCAATGATCCGGGACTGGCTGGACGCCCGAATGATCCGCAATAACTCTGGTCCGGGATTCGAAGCTCTGAATCACGGCCTTCCCAAGGTATTTCCAAAGAGCACCAGGGCACCCTCCCCGAACCGACCTCGACCTTAACAGCACATCCAATGGTACCCTCCCCAGGATGCACAAGAACATCCAATAAGCACGAAGAGCACCAGGTCACCCTCCCCGAACCGTCCTCGATCTTAGACCTTGGTCTGACTGTGTACAACCCGGATCTCTGGGGGCCATTCGGGTCGCTACGGGCAACCCCAGAACGCGAGGCGCCACTGCAGGACAGCACCCCGAGGCCCTCAAACACCGGTCCTCCTCCCCCTCCTCCTCGTCCTCCTCCTCCTCCTCCTCCTCCTCCTCCTCTTCCTCCTCCTCCTCCCCTCCTCCTCCTCCTCCTCCTCCTCCTCCTCCTCCTCCTCCTCCTCCTCCTCCTCCTCCTCCTCCTCCTCCTCCTCCTCCTCCTCCTCCTCCTCCCCCCGGCGTCGCAAGGAGGTCCGCCCTCGCGCCACTTTCCCAGACGTCTGCTGTCTCAATTGCTGCCCGCACGGGGCTCCCAGAGCTCTGGGCCCAGTCCTGGGCCAAGCTTCCACACTTTCTGCCTCACTCGACCCCCCAGAGATCCAACGCATTGAAAAACTCGAGACGGAGGATTTTCGCACATCTCGGCCTCTAGGGGCCCTCGCCGGGCCTCGGGACCGTCAAACTACTACTCAAGATGACAAACCGATCCTGGGGAATGGGTCGAGAATTCCGAGGACCGCGAAATCCGCCGACCCTAGAGGCGTGTGCGATATCCTTTGTGCTAAGCCTACACGAATGCCATCGGCACCTCACTCCTTGACACTTCACCACCCGTCAATGCCTCTCCGCCCAACCCGCAATTTCTCGCACGGAACCCACCGACGCCCAGGCCAACGCTCCCACCACGTCCCGACACCTCTATCTACGGCAGCTCCGTTCTTGGGACCTCCCACCCCGCAATGTCTCGCCCGGAACCCACCGACGCCCCCCCCCACGCTCCCACCACGTCCCGACACCCCCATCCACGGCAGCTCTGCTCTTGGGATCCCCCAGCCCGCAATTCCTCGCCCGAACCCACCGACGCCCCCCCCCACGCTCCCACCACGTCCCGACACCCCCATCCACGGCAGCTCTGCTCTTGGGACCTCCCACCCCGCAATTTCTCGCCCAGAACCCACCGACGCCCCCCCCCACGCTCCCACCACGTCCCGACACCCCCACTCACGGCAGCTCTGTTCTTGGGACCTCCCAACCGGCAATTTCTCGCCTCGAAACCACCGACGCCCAGGCCCCCCACGCTCCCACCACGTCCCGACACCCCCATCCACAGCAGCTCCGATCTTGGGACCTCCCACCCCGCAATTTCTCGCCCGGAACCCACCGACGCCCCCCCCCCCGCTCCCACCACGTCCCCGACACCCCCATCCACGGCAGCTCCGTTCTTGGGACCTCCCACCCCGCAATTTCTCGCCCGGAACCCACCGACGCCCCCCCCGCGCTCCCACCACGTCCCGACACCCCCATCCACGGCAGCTCCGTTCTTGGGACCTCCCACCCCGCAATTTCTCGCCCGGGACCCACCGACGCCCCCCCCGCGCTCCCACCACGCCCCGACACCCCCATGCACGGCAGCTCCGTTCTTGGGACCTCCCACCCCGCAATTTCTCGCCCGGAACCCACCGACGCCCCCCCATCCACGCTCCCACCGCGCCCCGACACCCCCATCCACGGCAGCTCCGTTCTTGGGACCTCCCACCCCGCAATTTCTCCCACCCCGCAATTTCTCGCCCGGAACCCACCGGCGCCCCCCCCCGCGCTCCCACCGCGCCCCGACACCCCCATCCACGGCAGCTCCGTTCTTGGGACCTCCCACCCGCATTTCTCGCCCGGAAAACCACCGGACGCCCCCCCCCCAAGCTTCACACGTCCCGACACCCCCATCCACGGCAGCTCTGTTCTTGGGTCCCCCCAACCCGGAATTTCTCGCTCGGAACCCACCGACGCCCCCCCCCCACGCTCTCACCACGCCCCGACACCTGCATCCACGGCAGCTCTGTTCTTGGGACCCCCCAACCCGCAATTTCCCGCTCGGAACCCACCGACGCCCCCCCCCCCACGCTCCCACCACGTCCCGACACCCCCATCCACGGCCGCTCTGTTCTTGGGATCCCCCAGCCCGCAATTTCTCGCCCGGAACCCACCAACGCCCCCCCCCACGCCCCCACCACGTCCCGACACCCCCATCCACGGCAGCTCCGTTCTTGGGACCCCCCACCCCGCAATTTCTCGCTCGGAACCCACCGACGCGACTCCCCACGCTCCCACCACGTCCCGACACCTCTATATACGGCAGCTCCGTTCTTGGGACCTCCCACCCCGCAATTTCTCGCCCGGAACCCACCGACGGCCCCCCCCACGCCCCCACCACGTCCCGACACCCCCATCCACGGCAGCTCTGCTCTTGGGATCCCCCAACCCGCAATTCCTCGCCCGGAACCACCGACGCCCCCCCCCACGCTCCCACCACGTCCCGACACCTGCATCCACGGCAGCTCTGTTCTTGGGACCCCCCAACCCGCAATTTCTCGCCCAGAACCCACCGACGCCCTCCCCACGCTCACACCATTTCCCGACACCCCCATCGACGGCAGCTCTGTTCTGGGACCCCCCAGCCCGCAATTTCTCCTCCGAACCACCGACGCCCCCCCCTACGCTCCCACCACGTCCCGACACGCCCATCCACGGCAGCTCTGTTCTTGGGACCCCCCAACCCGCAATTTCTCACCCGCAACCCACCGACGCTCCTCTCACGCTCCCACCCCGTGCCCACACTTACATCCACGGCAGATCCGTTCTTGGGATCCCCCAACCCGCAATTTCTCGACCGCAAACCCACCGACGCCCCCCCCCCACGCTCCCACCACTTCCCCCCCCCACGCTCCCACCACGTCCCGACACCCCCATCCGCGGCAGCTCCGTTCTTGGGACCTCCCAGCCCGCAATTTCTCGCCCGGAACCCACCGACGCCCCCCCTCACGCTCCCACCACGACACCCCCATGCACGGCGGCACTGTTCCTGGGCCTCCCAGCCCGCACTGTCTCGCGCGGAACCCACCGACGCCCCACCCACGCTCCCATCACGTCCCGACACCCCCATGCACGGCAGCTCTGTTCTTGAGACCTCCCCATCCCGCAATTTCTCGCCCGGAACCCACCGACGCCCCCCCCCGCTCCCACCACGTCCCGACACCCGCATCCCGTGGTCCCGTGGTGTCCCCAAAAATGAGATCGATAGTGAGATCGATAGTGAGATCGACAGGTGTCCCGTGGTGTCCTGTTGAATGAGATCGATTGTGAAGTCGATCGTCAGATCGATACTGTGATCGATGTGATGCCCCCAGGTGCCCCACCAGCATTCTGGGCTGAAGGATTCAGCGAATAAGGTCCTCCGTAACATCGTCGTTCTCCGCATCCATGAACCACGTCGTGACCTCCTCCTGCTCCTCCTGCGTGACCTCCTCTTAGTCCTCCTCCTTCTCCTCTGTAATCTCCTCCTTCTCCTCCGTAACCGCCTCCTTCTCCTCCTCCTGATCCTCCATCCACTCCTTCTCCTCCTCCTCCTTCTCCTCCTCCGTAACCTCCTCCTTCTCCGCCTCCTTGCTGCTCCCCGCTCTCCTCCTCCCCATGGAACCAGCACGCTACTAATTAGCACAGCAAAAAAAGTAAAAAAGTCCAGACCTTCTTTGGGGTCGGCGGCAGAGGCGGCAGCCTTTAGATATCGAGCTGGACTCGGCGATACATCGCCGATAGATCGACGATAGGCCTCCGATTGCGAATCCGCTCGTCCCTGGGCAGGGTGGGCTATCGGGCCCCTGTCGGCGATGAATGAGCCATCGGGGGGTCGATGCACTCCCCCCCTGAGCCCATAGGTGGCCCCTAACACCCTCCACCGCCCCCCACGCACAACGTGAACGGCTGGTGAAAAGTCACTCGGGCATTGGAACGTGGTGCATCAGTGAGGCATCCTTGCGGGGCCGTGCCCAGCGTGAACACCTCACCAGAGTTCGATCGCAACTGTTTTAGGCGCGCCAGCCTTCGGATTCCTGCTGAAATTACTCTTGAACCGACTTAATGAAAGTATGCCACCGCCCCCACCCCCAACCGAGCCCCGCGCCAGCGTACGTCGCCTCGAACTCGGGGTGCGAGCAGATCCACGCCGCCGCGCTCTCCTGCAGGGCTTCCGCTGTGCCCCCCCGCCGCGCTCGGCGGCGGCTCCCCGAGCTGCCCGCGCCGAGCTGCCCGCGGGCACCGGGCCTTCGGAGCCGAGCCTCGGAGCCGAGCCACGAGATCTGGGCGCTGCAGTGTGCTTATCCTGGGCTCGGGCTCGGGCTCGGGCTTGTGAGACCCGTGGGAGGCCAGACGAGGCCTGCGCGCGCAAGGCGGGCGTGTGGGGTCGCCGGGCGTGCGTGGGAAGAGCATGATGGCAGCCCGTCTGCGGATGCTTCTGAGCATGTCTCGACGAGTTTAGAGTGGTCGTTTTTAGGTACTGGAGAGGCCTGACGGCCGGTGCCGCCGACCCT